GGGGGGGCGGGGGGGGTGAGGGCGGCTGCTTCGGTCCGGTGGCGCGCGAAATCAACCAAACACACCCCGAAGGAGGTGGGTTGCGGGCCATGTACACAAACAACGAAAATGGCTCGACATAAAATAGGCACGGGTTAAAAACTGCGACATGGGCAGGAGGGCGACGAGTGGGGGACAGGGGTAAGGAGAGGCATTCGAGAACCAGAATCTGGCGGAGCTACAAGGCCAAACCTGGGGATTTCCATTTAAGTGTCGGGTATATCGGAACCGAAGTCTCCAATGAACAAAGGAAGCACCCGAGGTACACGAGGTCGACCATCACGGTTCGCACCGAGTACAAGCTTAACCTCCTCGAACGTAAAAAAACAAAAATCGGCGGGGTGTGTCTAACGCTCCGCACCGCTCAATGCCAAGCGAACACGGCCCCACAATACTTCGCGTACTCACCCCACCCCAACCGCAGCAGTGCAGTAGTAGCAATGCTTAGCGAACCCACCTCTTAACCTTGGAAGGAAGGTTCGCCACACGCTTAGAAAGGCTGAGCTTCGCCTTTGGCACCGCCGCTACATCGTCTTCTACCGGTGTCGATACCACCGCGGAATCATCGTTGTCATGAGTCAGTCGGTCGGACGTGGCGCAAGAAAGGGGAGGGCGGGTGGGCTCACGGGTCAACGTTTTTCGTAGGTGGAGAAACAAAACTATTGCTCATAACGCACACCACGTCGCTCAAGAGGAACCACGTCGGAAAAGGCTGTTGTACTTTCCGCAGGAAGACAGAACCAATCGACCAAAAAAAAAGCCAACTACAATGAATACTTCGTCGACACAGAAAAACGCCAGCATGGTCGTACTTCGGCCTGGTAAAGCGATAACAAACATCGAAAAACATGCAAGAGCTATTCGACATCAAAACACCTCAGCACGGTCTTCCTCCGGCCGTGGGATGCGACGACAGACATTGAAATACACGCAAAGTTTCTTGACACCAAAACGCCCCAGCGAGCCCTCACTCCCGCCTTAAAACAGCCGGACGATGGTGATGAAAGAACACAACAAAATATCTTGGGATAAAGCATGCAATGGGAGTTGGGTTAACGCGTCCATCGTATTCGCACGCGCTAAGAAGCGCCATTTTTCACCCTGAGGCTCTCTCCTGCCGTCAAGGACGACATCAAAGCGGGCCGCCGCAGGCGGCTACTGTACCTAAGAAATGTGTTCCAGGATCTCAAGGCACGCAGCACTCCACACACCGCGCCGTAACGTACCGGCCGCGCTTTTCTTCTTCCCTCCTCCTCCTCCTCCTCCTCCCCCTCCTCCGTCTTGGTGCAGATGTCCCGTGAGGATGTTATTCCCGATCGTCCAAAACGTCGGGCTCCAGCCCATCAAATAGAAACTGGCCTCACGCACGGAAGCAAGGACAGCGGGCGAACCGAGCATCCGGCAGCGGTCGGCGCAAGGAGGCCGGACGTTCAATACCGGCGCACCCAACCGACCACCAGAGAAAGCACGGGAAGGTGCTACGGGTGCAGATAAAAACAGCTACCATATGAGAAAAAAAAAAACGGTCGTAACAACGCTGCTGTTGGGTAGTCAACGTCGGCTGCCGGCGACAAGACAACTGACTCTCTTCACTCGGTGCTAGCATCGAGGGCTGTGGCTGTGGCTGTTGCTGCGGTCGAGGAGAAGGGCAACATGTACGCATGCGTGCAACCACCGCTGACATCGATTGCCTCTGTCCAGTGCTGCGGCCGTGAGGCAGGGCAGAGGAGGTTACCGAGCCACGATGTAACGTCCAAAATGCAGTCTTTCCTCCCTCTGGTGCCAGAAGGGCGCCCAGCCCCGAAAACGTCTCAAACATAGCCAGGCGTCCTCCCGCTTCACGGACACCCTTCTTTCCCAGAAGCTCGGTGCCCGACAGAACGCGATAAAAACAGAACATGGGGTGGATCGAACCAGCAACTTGGGCCTGATTGATCTAGCGGTCGACCGCTACGCTACATGTTGAAGCCCAAAACTATCACACTATATTAAATTCTATGCTTATATAGTAGGGGCGGAAACAATGGTGGCAACACCACCCACGCGGCCGATAGGAGCACACTTGTACTAATATGTGGTCCCCCCCACGCTAAAAGCAGAAACTCCGGGTAAAGTCCTCCATTACGAATCGTTCAATGGCAAGTTTTTGTTCAGCTAAGTTTTCATGTTCCACAGCAGCAACAACATATTGTATATAGTATACGAAGAATAGAATTTTTTAACAATGCTGAGCGCGCAATTGTTTTAAGCAGATCATATTATTATTATGTAATAATACTACATTCGACCACTATTAACAGCATATTGATTGGTGAAATTGAGCGCGAAGCATCTGATTGAGAGCGAGATTGCGCGATGCGCTGCAGCTGGACTACTGCTGAGAGGTGGAGCTTGCTGTGTAGCTTGAATTGAAGGGCCAGCCCGTAGCTACAAGCAGATACCCTGGTCATCCTGTGGGAGTCTCTCGATGTGGAGTTACAGCGGCGAGCAGAAGCTACAGCAGAGCCCACCGCCCGAGGCCAAACCGCCCTGCAACAGTTTGAGGCAGGAATAGCCAATCTGGGGAAATCTAGCAACTTGTCTAGCTCCTAGCTGCAGCATCCGATGACGAGGACACGTATATGCTCGTGACGCTGCTGATGAGACCTTCAATTTGCGCCGCTTCTTGGAAGAGCCCGCCCCCTACTTCCCAAGAAATGGCAAGAGGCGCCTGGACCCGAATTTCATTTTTTTTGGCTCTCGCTCTCAATTTCATGCTTCGCTCTCAATTTCACCAATATGCTGTTTTATTGTTATATATTATTAAGGAGACAGACGTACGTAAGTGTTGTCGTATTGACTTTTACGAGAGAGGCAGCGTGTGTAGGTAGTATATCATCGCCTACTCTATCTCTCTTTTTCTCGGTCTTTGCTTTGCCCCCCAATCGTTGCCGTGCGTGTTTCTACGCAAAAAAGGCATAGACTGGTTTGGTGTGTTGTTGATATAATGGGTGGGTGTGGAGTGGTCCGACAGACGGTTTGAATTTGGATTCCCCCCCCCCC